CTGGACTATTTTATCATTTTTTAAAAACTTTTTTGTTAAAAAAACGCACCACTAGTCATTTAATATTGTAATGATTCATCTTTGGCTTTTTAAAGAGCAATAGCTCGTTTTTGGAAACGTTCAGCCAATCTCATTGTCATATCCGTGGTTATTTCTGTCCAAGACGTCTTTATTGCATCTTTAAGTTCGTTTTTAGGCTTTAATATGCCTATTTTAGACTTTGTAATCCCCCATAAGTTCTCAATTGGGTTTATGTCTGGTGATTGAGCAGGCTAAGGCAATAATTCCAAATATCTTTCTTTCAAAAACTCTGATGCCAGCTCTGATGTGTGTTTTGGGTCGTTGTATTGCTGGAAAATGAACTGATTCAAACCCATTGATGCAGCAGATTCAAAGAGGTTATTGAAAAGGATTTTCATTTTGAAAATAGTGATTTTTTAACTATTTTTGCTAAAAAAACGCACCACCTAACTAAAATTGGTTTCCCGCCTTTTTTAAATATAAATTAGAGCTCATCAAGACAATCATAGTTAAGTAACTTGATAATGTGACTCGAGCTCAAGTAATTGAAACTCTTAAGCTTGGTCATTCGACAAGGTAGGTGGCCAAAATATTTGGCATTTGCCACTCTACAGTAGTTCGTACCAAGCAAAGGTGTGATAAATACCATACTTTTAATCATATCGGTATAAATGGCAGGCCGAAAGTTTCTTCTCTACAGGTTTTAAACGTGATAAAACAAGAAATTAAAGAAAATCCTAAAAAATAACTAAGAAAACTTCGATCAGTTGTCTCAACAGAAACAGGATCCTCAATATCTTACGTTTCTGTTAAGAATATACTGAACAGTATTGATATGTTTGTCATTCAGAGAGCACTTTTGGGCTAAAAAAATATCAAGCTCCGATTTTAATTGGCCCAGAAGTGGTTATTTATGGGAATAGACAGAATAAAGACCATAATATTTATTGATGAGTTGAAATTCAACTTGTTTTACTCCAATGGCAAGTCCTTTGTGTGGAGAGAGCCTGGAACAGGACTTCTGTCTTAACATATTGACAAAGCTGTCAAATATGGAGGTGGAAGTGTATTGGTGCGGGGATGTTTTGCATATTATGGAGTTGGAAATTTGTTGTTCATAGAGGATAAAATGGATGTTATTCAATATGTGCGCATCATTTCCAATAACCTCTTTGAATTTGCTGCATCAATGGGTTAGAATCAGTTTAATTTCCAGCAAGACAACGACCCAAAACACACATCAAAGCTGGCATCAAAGTTTTTGAGAGAAAGAAATTTGGAATTATTGCCTTGGTCTGCTCAATCACCAGACATGAACCCAATTAAAAATTTATGGGGATTATAAAGTATAAAATAGGCATATTAAAGCCTATAAATATCAACGAACTTAAAGATGCGATTAAGACGTCTTGGGCAGAAATAACCACGGATATGACAATGAGATTGGCTGAAAGTTTTCAAAAACGAGCTATTGCTCTTTATAAAGCCAAAGGTGAATCAACATAATATTAAATGACTAGTGGTGCGTTTTTTTAACAAAAAAGTTTTTAAAAAATGATAAAATAGTCCAAATTAAACTTATTTAAAAAGACAGAAATGTACAATAATTCAAAAAAATACAGCTATCTTATATATAATATCGGCTTGTTTTAATTTTTATTAATTTGACCAAAAAAGGGTGGTGCGTTTTTTTAAATAAACTCTTTATTTAGATGACCTCTTAGTAGTCAGGGCGGATTCTTTGCTGCTTGATGGCACAGTTTCGGAATATTATCCATCAAATGCTGGTAGGATCTGGGCATTCATTTAAACAAGAAAAGTGAAATTTTTGATAAGGGGCAAACACAAGTTAAATATAAATATAAATATATATATATATAAACTCGCCTCCTTAAACGAAATGAAAGATGTTCTAAAAAGTTAAATATATCAGTTGGAATATCGTAAAGTTCGTTACTAGCTATAACGACTACTAAGCTATTAAGTTATTGGTCATTAAGAAATTCAACTAGAATGTCTAATACACATGGGTATATTGTCAGGTTTCTGGGTAGTGGTAATAAAATAATGCGCGTGACTATCTTCGTTAAATTACCAGTTCACCAACACGACCACCTGTGGCGACGAGCCACTGGAGCTCGAAGGCGAAACCACAAATCGGATGATAGTTAGCATTGTATAAGCAGTGACCCCATTCAACTCGATTGCCACCAGAAAACAGCTCCTCAAGATCGCAAATACAGCTCTTCCAGAGAACGCCATCGGTTTCTGGAAGAAAAATATAGGCAGATTGAGTCTAACATGCTAACAGAAAAAGCTTTCGCAACTTGGTCGGGGCGACAGAAGACCTTGTGGAATTTACCTGGTTCTACTGCGTCCTGCGTCATCGTATTTATAGTAATATATAACATCGAAACGTTGTCTTTGTACATTCCCAGACGTTTCGCCGCCATCACAGTCGGCATCCTCAGTAAGAGATACCATCCTTAACACAGAGCTACAATTTATTACTTCAATACTTATCACATTGATAAATTGTAACTATGACCTAACGATGGATTTTCTCACTGACGATGCCGAATACGATAGCAGTAAGACGTCTGGAAATGTAGCAAGTCAACGGTCGGATGCTGGAGAGCATCAGGAATACTATAGCAGAGGATGCAGCAGAACCAGCTAAGTTCCACAAAGCCCCACTGTCGCTCCTGCCAAGTTGCTAGGACTAGGTGAAACCAACGCTATACAACTGAAGAATACTGCGACCATACAAAGGTCCACACCATCTTGGTCTTCATATAGAGCTTTCGTAAGTACAAATAGCAAATTGTAACTACAAATATATCAGAAACTCTAAGTAGGATTAAATAAAGAGTTAATATATATTAGTGAGCAACTTATAGTTCAGGAAATAGCATTTGGTTCGCCAATTATGAAGTATATAAGACCTAATTTGATCCGTAACACATATTGTGAGGGTCTCATCAAGGATAAATGCTGCTTAGATCTCTCAACGTTCTGGTAGTTGAATTTTCCTACAATGATATGAGTAGAGCTGACGTTTCCATTGAATTTCACAGCCTTGCTTTCCCAAAAAGTGTTTTCATCCAGGGTGGACTGCAGTTTCAACCTTGCATAGGTCTTATCAACACCCCCTCGGAACTTGAACCATGACAGTTCATCGCATAATCTCAACACGTTAACCGCTACGCCACATTTCCACGAGTGCCCTTTGATCACAGGGCAGATGTGAATTTCACGGAAGGCCAGGCATTTTTCCATATCACACTCTTTGGTGGGATTATCGATGAAGCAGAGTGATATTTACTATAACAATAGACTATAATACTTATAATTCGTTTATAAGTCGGGTTTCGAGACTACCAGTAAACCAGTTATTAATTATCCCATCAGAGAAAATTATATGGAAAAATGCCTGGCCTTCCTTGAAATTCACATCTGTCCTGTGACCCATGGGCACTCGTGGCAATGTGGCAGAGTGATTAACGTGTTGAGATTACATGTTGCACTGTCATGGTTCGACTCCCGCTGGGGGTGTTGATAAGACCTAGGCGAGGTCGAAACTGCTGTCTACCCTGGATGAGAACAACTGTTGGGAAAACAAGGCTATGTGAAATTCAATGGAAACGTCAGCTCTATTCATATCATTGTGTGGAAATTCGACTACCAGTCCTTTATCACCTTAAACGAAATAGGATGAATTCATCTCATATAACTAATTTATTGGTAGTCTCGAAACCCTACTTATGAACGAAAGAATTAGCTATTCTTTTTTGTGCAAGCATAAGATAAAGGCTTAGCTAGTGCCCGGCATACTCTTGAAAACAACTTGCTCAATAAATAAGGGTATATTAGAAACATCGAAGCCAAGAGCTTAATGAGCGAAGAGTATTTGTCTTATAGGCGACTAAGATCGGCAGGATAGATGCGGTGATAAGTAAGAAAGTGTGCCTGTACAGCTAGGCGGATAAATAAAAGGCTAAAAAAATGAATCGACGACTTTACCTTGAAAAGGACTACGATCTACGATACCGAAGCGTGATGCCACATTTGCACTGGTAAGTGGGCTCACCACCTTTGCCGGCCCAGCCTCTTGACACCAACACCTTTCACTGCTACCATTGTCAAGTGGTGAGTTCAACGGCTGTGTCCTATCAACACTCGTCCCTTGTCTCTCTGACGGCCACCATTCCGAAAGGCTTGGCGCAAAGCTACCACTATTACTAACTGCAGCACCACCATTACTGCCAACACCCCCATTAACATCTGTCCCATCATTGCCATCTTCATTAGCATCATTTTCGTAGGGCGCATTACCAATGCCACCTGGTTCATCATAGCCACCAAGACTTGCGTCATTTGAAGCCTTGTTGTTTATAGAAGCGGGCACAAGCAAGGGCTGGCTACTAGTAATGTTGCTACACGCGTCACTGACATTTAGTGGTATACTGGGCCGCATTACATGCGTGCTCTTAAGACAAGACCTGTCATAGCCGGCCATTGGTAGAGTCATACTGCCACTTTTGGTTCTTCCATTAATATTGTTGCTACTGCCTGAACAGTTGTTGTCGCTAAGCCCGGAACTGATATTTATATCGACACTGCCGCTGATGCAATTTTCCTTGTTGGTGGCGATATCACAGCCGGTGAAGCTTATTGCGGCCGGACGTTCTTTAACCATGACATGATCCAGACCAGGAAGAGCAGAAGCCTGAGATGAGTCGGCATCAGTTGTGCTACCCGGTAGATGAGCCGCATCATTGTCTGTTGATACGGGGAGCTGGGAACCACCTGAGAAGAAGAAAGATGGGCGAAGGAGGGTCACTAATCGAGGTTCTCATAAAAATAAATGAGCATAGTTATAGCAAGATAGCACAATATATTAACTGATTAATAATAATAACAAATATAGTTTTAAAAATAGAATAGTGATAGAAAGTGGTGAACAAACCTGTATGTCCAAATGACTGGGCCCCTTGTGAGACGTGACTGGTAGATATGGGTTGCATGACAGCAACCTCAGCCCATTCAAGCTGAAAATCAGCTGTCCACTGAGGTGGTGTGTGGCTACTCTTCGGTCGATAGGCATCAGGAAACGCAGCAGGTTTCAATTGCGCCCAAGTTGATGCCCAGGCTGCTGATCCTGACTGGTCGTCTCGTGAAGGTGTTGTCGGTGCCGTCATTGCCGAGGCGGGATCAACGGTTGAAGCGCCAGTAGACTCGCAATCGGTTGCTGCCTGAGGATCGATGGGAATCGCTCCCGTTGATCTAGATTTAGCCGTGATTCCGCCTGTCGTTGATATAGAGGCCGAATCTACGCCAATACTCAAAGAATGCTTAGTGGTCCCGGAACTAGATTCAACGTCACCTTCAGTAGCAGCCGTTGAAGAAATTATAGTACCAGTGGTTGCTCCAAGGCTTGTAATGCCGGCCGACGCTGTGGCCATGAGGGTGGGATGACGGATGGGCGCTTCTGAATAGCACAAATGCAACGTATCCTCTTCTATACCCAAATAAACAGACCAAGAATAGACATGGATGGGGGGAACTTTAAGCTAGAGAGTTATGTGGTGTGTTACTTAAAAAATGAGGCTTCAAAATACCTTGCTTATTTCCATATTAGGTCCATGAATCAAGATAGGTATTAATTAAATAAGTGATAGAGGCGATGATAAAAAATAAACTATTCACCATAACAAGATAAATCCGATGGTTGAGCCTTTTTCCCGAGGAAAGTAAAACTGGGCTCCGTTGTTTTACTCATTCCTTGCCAGGAAGCCAGCTCGCCTGAGCTAGCAAACCCGACTGAAGTGCCTGTTATCGGGGCGTTCATCTGGGTAGCTACGACCGAAACCGATGGAAGAGAAGGTGCGCTATTGTTTGAAGGCAGTTGAGCGATTTGGGTATAGGCAGGCCCACCAGAAACGACTGATAGGGTTGCAATGGTGCCTGCTGACAATGGGTCAGCGGAACTGGACTGTCGATCAGGTTGAACTGTAGGATGAGGCCCGCCAGTAATGGCAGGTGAGGCGGAAGAGGATCCACTGGCAGGCACGGTGGGCACGGGAGCAGAAGTAGAAGCAGTGGTAGGAGTAGGGGGATGGGATGCAAAGGAGAGATTGGAGGGCGGACTGGAGAGTCCAAGACAATAAAGGGGTCGGGAAACATGTGACGAGTGGAGCAGGTGCAAAAGCTGAGATGAACCGAGTGGAGGAAGCAGAGTGTAAAAGTAGAAACCATGGATGAATACAAGCTGCGTGTTTCCCGAGGTGTGGCAGAGCCATCCAGCATCCAACATAAGCTGTTTACAAGACCAAAAAATGAGGGAAATGGAGGTCAGAAGTTAGCGATGACAAGTAAGGACATTAGTGAAGAATAAGATAAAAGTTAGGTATAGGCAACAAATAGAGAATGCAATTAGTTTAGAGAAAGAAGGAGACGAGTAAAGTTCGGCAAGAATGAATAAAGGACTATAGGCTTCAAGTATCAGTATATTGGTACTGGGAATCGTATTATTTTATCCTTAGCTATCTGACATACATAAGTAAATAAACATTAAAGCCGTAAAGTTAGAACCTGAGTGACGCGAAATAATCCTATCACCACCAAAAGCTTAAGATTGAAAGGGCTACTGTGCAAGTAATAGACGAAGGGCATGGTTAAGCATTGGAAGTGGATAAGAAATAAAGAGAGCAAATTGTTATAAGGTTAAATATAATTGAATGCGTAACTAGTACATCAGGAATAATAGAGATAGATAAGAAGTAACTACAGAAGCATGAGCATATTATCCAACTAAAATAGGACGTTAGATGCCGATCGGTATTATAAATTGAAACAACATTTGGCATGTAGAAAAATGATTTTCAAAGGATCGCTTGATAAAT